GTCAGGGAAGAGTTCACAGTTCGATGTGATTCCCGCCTGGAGCGAACGTGTAGGCCCTACCCATTCAGCGAGTGATGTAAGTTTAGGGGGAGAGCTCAGGTGTGAGTGCGATGTTTGGGGAAAACAAACGTGTCGGTCAGTTCACACCCCGGTGTGATCCCGTCTGGGGCAAACATTGTATCGCTTCATCGAGTTTTACGTGTATGTGATCACATTCCCGATAGTAGCTGATCTTTGACGCTACAGACAGTTTATTGATCTCAACTTTTCACTCTTGGTTGGTCGGCTGTCCCGCCCGGGTTTTTGTTCCGCAAATTATAATCTGAAATGCGGGATCTTAGCCGAATGTAGACCTTCAGAGTGAATCAGAGCGGGATCTTAGGGTTACTTTTGTATCGTAAAAATTCTGTTTTCTTAAAACAGCGGGATCTTAAGCGAACCGGGATCGTAAGCGGTGGGATCTTAGGCGGAGACTACTGTATTAAGTTTCTTATTTTTGCAAGTTACACCATTTACAATACTCAATAACCAAATAAGACAAAACAGGCCTAATACAATATAATCGTTTTATAGGAAATGCGTGCTACCCACTTCTGTCAAAGCCTTTTTTTTAAACTACTTCCTCATATACAATATATTTTATGCATTTTTTTTCATCAGTAGAATCTTCATCTTGATCTTGTTGATGTAATTCTCTATGCTTGATCGTATGCTTTCCTCTTGCCTGATATGGGGCCTGTGTAAGTTTATATTTAATGATATTGTATGGTTAGTTAAAAGAAAGAGGAATATTTGGTGGAAGATGAAAAAAGAACCTGGTGGTTTTTTGTGAGTGCTCAAAGTCCATCACTCACCCACCTTACTTGAGTTGGCTGGCAGGAACATGAGAATAGCACAGATGGTTAAGTTCTAGCCTCCAGGCCTTTACATTATATAAAAGAGCAGTGACTCATCCCTAGCACAATAAGTAGGCTACTGGAACTGAAAAGTGCAGTCACACACAAAGGTAGATGTGATAGCAACTAAGTTGAGGTAGAGGCAGGCAACTCTCAATGACTTAAATTGTCTCTCATTCTAGCTTTAATACATATATCATCCATGGCTCATTAACTTTTTGTTTCATGAAAGGAGTTTTCAAAGCACCTCCACCCCCTCATCCTGTTTTCCTTTTTTTTTCTTGCATTTTGAAATTGAATACCTTGATTTACTCAAATGTTTTGAAGGCAAAGTTTTTGGCTCAATCTGGGCAGAGAGGAATGGTTTTCAGAGATAGAGTACAGTTTGAATCTTTATTGAACTGAAAACTTGGGAGTGCCATGTGTTTGCCAGGTTACTGGCAGTGTAACAACTATGATTTAAAAAAATACCTATCTATATTTTGGGAGGGGGGGGTATTATGTGCTGCTGGGAAAAATAAAAAGTAAAGTCAGCTTTCAGTTCTTATTATAAAATATGCATTCTTCTTTTTACAGCTGGAAAACTGTGCCAATCAGCTATGGAATACATCAGTGGTTCTGAAGTCGAAGGGTACTGTGGAGCCAACTGTTTATGCCAAATGTGAGCTTTTCTTTTCTTTCTGTTTTTGCATTTCCAATTGTTGGTTCCTCTGACTGGTAATTTTGCCTGGAGTGAAGTGTTGTTTCAGAAATAGCAAACATTGTGGAATTTGAAGTCTCAAGCCAGTGTCTTACAAATTTTCTCATAATCTTGTGCAATGGTAAATTGGTAATAGTGCTTGTGTCAAATGGGTCAGGTGTCTAATTGTCATAATTTTCTGTTTTGCATACAAAAGAATTGCAATTGACTGGATCATGAAGGACGCCACCAGAGGCAAGCGAAATGGAATACAGTGGATCCCTTGGCAGCAGCTGGACGACTTGGACTTCGCCGACGACCTTGCACTGCTCTCTCACACACATGCTCAGATGCAAGAAAAGACCAAAGAACTCAACAGCCTATCATGGAGTGTTGGCCTACGTATACACCCGGGCAAGTCGAAAGTATTGAAGCTAGGTAAAGTGTCAAGCCCTGCTGTGACAGTGGAAGACAATCCCCTAGAAGAAGTGGACTCTTTTATCTACCTTGGAAGTGTTATCGATGGTAAAGGTGGAACTGAGGCAGATGTAAAAGCAAGAACCGCCAAGGCAAGGTCAACTTTCAAGCAATTATCAAATGACTGGAAAGCAAGCAACATCTCACTGCACACCAAGATTCGACTCTTTAATTTCAATGTCAAGTCTGTGCTCCTCTACGGCTGCGAAACTTGGAAGACAACAAAGACAGAGTTGAATAAAGTCTAGACTTTCATCAACAGATGTATGAGGAGTATCCTAAGAATTAAGTGGCAGGATAGAATAAGAAATGAAGAGCTATGGGAAAGGACAGGACAAAAGGATATAGAAGTAGAAATAGGACTTAGAAAGAGGCGTTGGATGGGACACACCTTCAGAAAGCCCAACGGAAACATCACAAGACAGTCACTGCAATGGAACCCACAGGGAGCACGAGGCAGGGGTAGGCCACGGGAAACATGGAGGAGATGTGTGGAAAGGGACATGAGAGAGATGAAGCTCACCTGGAACGAGCTAGGAAGGATGGCCCAGGACAGAGAAATGGAAGGAGCTTGTATGTGGCCTTTCCCCTGCCAGGGCTGAAAGATAGTGATTGATTGATTGATACAAAAGAATGAAGAAACCCTAAAAATCTATGGTATAAGATCTTTTTTTTTAAGGCATCATTGGCTTGTGTAGCATTGTGAACATACAAACAGTCAAAGCATTTTGAATGCAAGTGTTGCTAGATGTATTAGTTGTATTCAGAGTGCAAGTCCTCCTTTGTAAACCATGTTTTTAGCTGAAATTCATTCTTCTTTTGTTCCAGTGCGCTACATTTCTTTCCAAGTGGTAGGTTTTGTCTATGAGTCGTCCTCGGATGTAAAGTATCTCAAGAAGCAAATTGTTGTGAGTTCAGTGTGTCAAACCTTGTGCCGTGGATGCATGTACCCTTAATTTCCTTTGTAGAGAGATACATTTTTTGTGTACCCTGTGCTCTTCGACTGTTTCCTCTCACTGCTATGCCGAATATCCTGCTTTTTGAAATCATCTATGGATGGTTGGCAGGTGCTCTGGTGTCGTTTGATCCTTCTGTTCTATCAAACAACTGTCCTTGTCTCTCATTTTTTTGTGTTTGTTACTCTCTTAGATTGTAACGCCTCTAATCTTCGGAACTTGTATGACCTAATTGTGTTGCAAGTGCTGTAAAATACTTACTACAACAACAAAACCATCTGTGTGAGTTTAGCTAATCAATAGCCTAATAGAAAATAAACACTCATTAAAAAAAAGTCTACGGTAAAGGAGAAAAAAGCTCATGTTTGATTAAAAATTTTCTGAACATCCGCAATTTTGACCATTGATATGCATGGCATGTTGATTATCTGTTGTTGAAAATCCTTACTGTTCGTCTTGTTCTGTGAATTTGTAGGTGCTATTTGTTCAAGATATGTCATTCATTGGTTTTGCTATAAGCGTATTAAGTGCTGAATTCCCTCAAGACATTCCTCTCATTGTATACAACAATCTCATTACATTCTTGATGGATATTGCAAATAAATATCAATTGTGTACCCTCAATACATAAAAATAAAATTTTTAATTTAATCAAAGATAGTGAATAACAAGATGGGCCACTCAGCCAAAAAAGTGTCCGCAGGAAGTATGCTCTTTGCTTCAGATGGCGCTGCAGTCTGTTTTGAAGCTCTCTTTCGTTTTTCCAGAAGAAGAATAGGAATAGCACCTCCTTGCGTGCACAGATCGACTGCTGTTCATCAGCAGTTCGGGTTCGTTCAGTACGGAGTTTTAGGTTATTTATATTTTAATGACCTCTCACCTTTCATTCTAAAGTCAAATTAAACGAAGAAAACAATCACCCTTTCCTCCGGAAGAGGTTTTTTGTCAGCGTAACCATTGTAAAAAAGCGTTCTTCCGAAATTCATTCAAAAACTTGCTAGTTTCACTTTGATTTTTTAAAACTCAAGTAGGATAACTCTGTTCGCAAAAGGTGCGCTTTTGCGAAGAGGGCGCCACCGAATTTTGAGGACACTTTTTAATTGGCTCAAAGAGAGAAGTGGCCCCTCTTGTTATGTAGACTCATTGATTTAATCAAGCAAGGCTATTTCGGTGTTTGGATATTTTGCAGATGGGATTAAAAACTGCAAGAGCATGGATGGGTATGTTTGCATTTAACATATTCACTAAGGTTTTTTGTCAGACTTCCTGAATTTTAATTCTACACTCCTTGAGTAGTGGACTTTCTGTTTTGATTGTTTTATTTCAGTTTGCTTTTGGGCTTTCTTTTTTTGTTCTTTTCATGTTCGAATTCTCAACCCAAACCTCTGCATACTCATTGCCTTTAAGGTTGCAATTTAGACAGTTTTTTTATACAGTATGAATATAAGGTGGTACCAGTGTCTGTTGCTACCCTTGCTGCTGTTGATGATACTTACGATGATGATGATGACAAATGAAATATGGAAAAAAATATAATGCTGAACCTGCTGTAACGAACACCTGTCAAAGACAGTTACCTGTACAAATGACCACTTTCCACTTCCCGCCTTGTCATTTTTTATACTGTAATGTTACTATCCAAGAGGATGCGTCGTCGTCTCTGACTCAGAGGTGGACGCGAATTGACCTTCCAGCACTCACAGTTGCCAATGGCTGTTCCTCATTCTGCCATACCCAGGCCAGTCCATGTCTTGATTTTGTCCATGAAGATCTTCTGTATAAGATGACCACTGTTCTCCTCAACAGTGGGTGGGTTGCCTTGGACAGGATCGACAATAGCTCGTCAATGTGAATACAGAGTGGTCTGCTAACCAAACTATTGTAATCCATTGCAGAATGTAAAGACTATGGTCCTGCAGATAGGGTGCTGTCCAGTTTGAAGCAGGTAAGGTCAGTGGTTAGGTAGACATTTATTTTGGATTGTGCATTAAGTACAGTGGAAACCTGATATAACAGGGATGATGGGATCAGAGAAAAAGTCATGTTATATCCGATCCCTGTTAAATCAGAAATGCAAGGAAAGTAAGCATTTGTGGACTAATCCAACTATTTATTCATGGGTAGTTTCCCTTGCCACACCACAGCCCTCTCTTGTAGCCGTGTGGCAGGCCTGCGCATGACACATTACACACATGCGTGTAGCTAAGCTTAGGGCTAGATCAAAGTCTGCAGCACACCGTGGCCCTCTCTCGCTTCACCCGCTACGCACCCGCTGCGTGTGCTTGCTGTGGCTTGTGTGAGCTTGCTCCATCACTGCGTTACTCTCTCTTTCTCTTTCTCTCTCTCTCTCTCTCTCTCTCTCTCTCTCTCTCTCTCTCTCTCTCTCTCTCTCTCTCTCTCTCTCTCTCTCTACTCTACTTTCCTATCGAACATCTATCATCCCTATCTCTCCTCCTTCTGTTTTGTGTATCTTAGTTTTAACACCTAATCTTCAACACATATATATATATATGACCTAATTGTGTTGCAGGTACTGTAAAACTCTTAGTAAAAAACAAGATACTCAAAGGTACACACACTTGTGCACATGCTGTTTGCCCCCACCCTGTCTCCACTTATTTTCTCCCTATTCCATTGTCCACAGACAGTGCAACAACTGCATTGTATAGTTGGCCAAAAGGACAGGTCTGGTTCCCCTCTGTGTTACAAGGAAGATAAGACTGTAAGACAAGATCTGGACAAGGACACGCTTTGGGTTTACTGCCTGGAGCTAGAACTGGTGGGTGATTCTGTTTGAGCTTGAAGTTTATCAAAACTATTTCTTTGATGCACTCGGCTGTTTTGAGATATTGAACAAAACCTGGATTTTCTCAACACTTGGTGTTTTTGACTCCCCAATTTCAAATTAATACAACTTTGAAATAAAAAAAGCAAAAATTAGATTGTTTTTATCTACTTATAGGGCTTAAGCGAATCTTAGATTTGATACTCAGAGTGTATTATTGTCAAAATGCAATATGTGACTCATTTTATCATGTTGCCAAGCATTTATGATCACAGTGTTTTGGCTCTGTTGGAAGCTGGATCTCTGAATGGATCAGTTTTCATTCTGGTGTTATGGAGAGCTTTGTAAACTCCAATTAGCTTATTTTCATCATATCTTACCTTTTGGTTTGGGGGCCTTCTCGGATAAGGGCCAAAAATGTTGGAAGTCCTGTGTGCAAGTTGTGCACTTTAAAAATCCCTTGGTGGTCCAAAATTGATAAGAGTAGGCTTCGGCTGCTGCCTAGGCAAAATTCAAAATTAATTCCTACCATACCAAAAATGTTGAATGTGTCCCTCACGCTCATATGACCTTATGCAGTTGTGAGTGGCGTAAAACACTTACCAAACAATATCTATTGATTTACTTTCTGTACATTGTTTATTGTCCAAGTCCCCCCCCCCCCTACCTGAATGAAGAAGTTTTATTGTATCTATCGAGTGTCTCTTGTCCGTCCTCTGGGATGCTGTATCCCACTCAGTCCTGGTTGGCCCTGACTAGTGAGGTTGTCGTAGCCCACCTCTTTAATCATCATCTAAATAGTGTTGATAATGACATAAGATGTTTACAGCCTATAGTTTACTTTATCTTTTTTGATAAATCAAGCTGTAACATTTAGCTTTTTCCTGACATCTTTGTACGTTGATTTTTTTCCTTCAGAGAGTTGCTCAGGGCAAACATGCTGAGGCTCTAAGCGCTGCCACGACGGCTAAGGAGCTGGTAGTCAAAGTCCCAACAGAGGTATGTGCTGCTCAGCATAACTATTTGACTGAATCACAAAGAGGGTTTTTATGAAAGTTAAATAGATTACATTTGATGTTTTAGGCAAAGACCCTGCTTCAACAAGCACACACAAACACACTCATACACACACACATACATGCAAATGCACATGCACACATTCACATACACGCATGTACTCACTCTCACACACGCACATACACTCACACACTCACACACACACACACTCTCACACACACACACACACACACACACACACACACACACACACACACACACACTAACAGATTTACTCACATATGATTTATATTTGAATGTGGTCTTATGACATTTAGGTCAATGTAATTCTTAGCTTGTTGAATGAACGCAAGCTCTAATGTCACGGACCTAAAACCTTCCAGCATCAGCTTCTCATTGTTATACGATATAAAGGTAGCTTTGTTATTTCTGTAAAGAGAAGCGCAGTGACATAAAATATATCTTTAGGCCACTTAATGTAAGAATATTACTATACTTAAAATTGACTACTTAGTGTAAGACTCCGCTATACGCCATTTTGAAAAGTGACATGTGATGGAGTTTTACACTGAGCAGTCAAAATGTAAGCAGATAGAGGCAACTCAAATGTAAGCAGATAGAGCCAATTACCCGTGTTTGTCTTGCCACACCTACCCCTCCCCCCCCCCAAGTGTCACAGTGTGAGTATGCTGTGCTACAATGCTGGTGTAGACAGCTACCAGAGCCAGCAGTGGGAGCAGGCAGTGGCCTGGCTGAGGGAAAGCTACAGCGTGACAAAGCAAGGGGAAAACAAGGACTGCTCCTCGCAGGTTAGCCCGCTACTTTTACCTTCCACGTAAAGGAGAAGTCTATTGTTCTCGTAGCATTCTTTATATTCCATGTAAAGGAGAAATCACTCTTATCTACTGCTCTCGTAGCATAAAAAAAAATTCCATGTAAAGGAAAAGTCACACTTCTACATGGCTCTGTATACAGTATATGTGAAGGAAGGTCATGTCAAGGGATGTTAGATATTGTTGAAAATGTTAGGAGTATTTAAAAAAAAACTTTTTGCCTATGTGTCCAGTCTTTAAGGACACACTATAAATACAGGTTCATGCAGGTTATTATATTTTGAAAATTTCTTTTCTCAAATGTAGGTGTTTTTACTCCCATTGACACAGTTTAGATTGTTTGGGAGGCGTGCTTCTAAACCAGCCTGTCTGGGCCAACTCAGGCTGAAAGGGATACATTGTCCGAGAAGAAAGGCTGAGATACTTTATAAAAATGTTGTTTCTACTAAAGAATCAAAATCAGCTCTCCGGTGTGCAACAGCAAAGCACCTATATAACAGCTACACTAAAGATGCTGGTTTTCTCTCTTTATACACACTTAAAATAAAAACAACTGGAATATGGTAAAAAACTTCTGTGTTGTTTTTGTCATGTTTCAGGCTCGCACGCTACGTCTGTTAGCGACCTGCTACATGGAGTGGCGCTGTGCTGACTGGGCTGAGCTTGCACTGAATGCTGTTTCTTTGGCCAACCAAGTAGGTTCTTTTGTCTTCCAAAACACTCACTTTAGAAGGTACAGTTGAACTCGGTCTAAAGACCACCTTTTTCAGACAAGCTCCTGTACAAACGGCCACTTCCCTCCCCCCCCCCCCCCCCCCTGTGTTTTTATATATAGTGACACAATCCAAAGGGACACTTAATTTTAGTTTTAATAAGAGTTTTACGGCAGTTCCAACACAATAAGGTCATATCGGTGCCGAAGATTAGGGGTGTTGCAAGAAAGACACAAACTCAAAAAAGAAGGGGGGGGGGGGGAGATAAAGCACCCTCGACCACTTATTTAAGATGATCATTTTAAAACTTTTTGACAATGATTTTCTTGGACAGGTTCGACTATAGTTCCAGTATCAAGTCTGACACTGAATCATCAGAAGACTCTCTGCCGAGAACTGTGTGGGAGGGAATTTTAAGGAGATTGGTGTCTGTGTATCCTCCTGAACCCAGTCAGACAAACCGTATTACTCACAAAGTTTTTTTCTTTTCCCAGGAACATCCCCACTGTGCTGGTCTGTTTGTCCATCTCAAGCTGCTGCTCACATCACAGGCAGAGGGGAACGCTGTTCTTCATGGTCAGATAGAATAACAATAATAATAACAATAATAATAATAATAATAATAATAATAATAATGATGATGATAATAATAATAGTAATAATAATAATAATGATCATAATAATAATAATGATAATGATAATAGTAATAATAATGATAATAATAATTATTATTATATTAATAATAATCATAATAATGTTTCATGCTTTCCGGTGCATTCATTGTACAACAGTCCTTTCAAATATATGTAGGCCCCCTATATTTAAGCACCGGTAATATACCAATTAATTTGGCCCCCCCAAAAAATCCACAAGCGTGGCTGCTGAATAATTGTCTTTTGTCTTTGGAAGTCTCACTCATGAATTTCATGAATGCCGATTAGACTCCTCAATTAATTGTCTCCTGTTTTATTGCGTTGTGACTGTTTTATAGTTAACTGACTGTTTACTACATTTGGCATATATCGACTTCTAATTAGGGATGGATTCTAATATTTTTACATCACTGTAATTGCGTTGAGTATTTCTCTTAATCTTAATTGGACTGCTCTCATCCAGCGGCACATTTTGATATCAATAGCCTCCTCTGCAATTTGAATTGTGGTTTTCGATTGGTATTTCTCCCTTTAAAGAAAGTGATGATTATGTTAATGAAAGTTGTCAAAGCGAAAATTGTATCTTGTATTACTTACTTGATACATGTTGTCATGACTGAAATATTCCTTGTTGGTGGTTAGAGGCCTCGACACGTGAGTCCAACTTCTTTACTTTCCTTCTGTTGTTTCTGTTTGTCTACGTCTTGCTTTTTTTTCCAGCATCAAATACCATTATTGTGTTGGTATGCCTTTTTTTAAGTCAAATAAACAAAAAACAAAAAGAAATGTCCTTAAAGTTGTGCTTCCCAAACTTCTCCTTGTGGGTGGTTGGCAGGTGCTCTGGTGTGGTCTGCTTCTTCTTTCCTATCAAACATCTATCGTCTTTATCTCCCCTCCTTCTTTTTTGTGTTTGTTACTCTCTTGTAACACGTCTAATCTTTTGGCACTCATGCATATGACCTTATGCAGTTGTGAGCACCGTAAAACCTCTACTACAACTAAAACTAAACCTCTCCGTTGTTGATTTTTTGTGTGTACGTGTATTTCAGCTTTGAGAAGCTTGCTACAGCACCCTGACTGCAACCTAGAAGTTTGTTTGAGCACTTTAAGTCTTCTCAAGAAACACCAAAGGTAATTAGAAAAGATACTAGTATTCATTGAGATTTACACCTTTTTCGAAATGGAATGAGGGTTGTGGGTACGGTAAAAACTGGTGAGGGCTTGTTTCCCTTACAGGTAGAGAAAAGTGTTCTTTCTGGACTTGATAGGTTAGAGTCTATCAGAATCCATTATTTATGGTTAAGCTACGCTATGTTGATGGAACATTTTTGATAAAGATGCCATTTCTGTAAACGTTTATTTTGCCCTCCACTGATCTGCTGACTTGGAATATACAAGTCTCCACTTTGGAGAAAGTTGGCGATGTTATCTTCTTCTTCACTGTTGGTGACAGTCCGACAGTCAATCCGGTGGTGTGCACAAACTGTACAGTCCACTTTAGATCTTCGAGGCTGCCACACAATTTTCTCTCCAGTGGTATAGCATATTGCCATGTCTGTGTTCACAGGGTTATGGAGTGAGTTCAGTGCTGCAGGGTATGGTGGCCTTTCTATGGGCCCTGTCCACATTAGCATAGGGGTGTGTCTCCCATCTTTAAATTTGGAGTCCATACTCTGCAATGTTAGCAAAGCCTGAGACAAGAGAATATTGGCAAAAGCTACACCTGAACTAAGAAATTGGTTTCCTCGTGCCTGAAATGCAATTTTCAATGTGAATCTGAATGGGGAATTTTTTGCCAGCTGAACGGGTGGTCTGAGGGCACCACCTGTTGGTCCAACTTGAGTTTCCATGTGTTGATACTATCTATCTTGCTTTTTTCCCTGTGCCGACTGTTATTTTATCTTTGATTCTTCTCTTTACTCAAACTCAGCTATCTGAGAACCCACTAGTAATACTAGCACATTACTGATTTCATCATTGAATAGGATGGACTACCGTAGAATTTGTCAGCAGAAGTAGTTGTTTTTCAACAACAAATAAAAGAAGGGTTAATGTTATTCTCACTTTTCAATACATTTACTTCTGTGTGCAACTCAGCAGATAGTTGGAGGGCACCACGGTCAGGTTGTTCTTTAAAAATGTCTTTCTTTTATTTCTGTCTGTCTTGCTTTTTTCGCAGCACTAAATGTCTATTACTTTGTCATATGTACTGCTCTTTCCACAAACTCAAACTCACCTCACAAATCATAATATGCATTTATCCTCAGCTGTGAGTCAGCATTTGAACTGCGGGAGAAATTCCTGGAGAAGCAAGGCACCGGCCCTGACTCTGGCCTTCTGTGGGTCATGCTTCAAGACCTGCTGCTCTGTTCGGACCATTTGGAACATGCCAGCACCTTTGCCACTGAGGCAATCACAGGTATGTGCTAAATATTGTTGTTGGTATGTTGTTTATGTCCTTTCAGAAGATGCTTGACTTATACCTTTTGCAGCTGCGTAAATCACAGGTGCATGCTAAATGTTATTGTGCTGTCTGACTATTCTTCAACTCATTGTCTGTTTCCTTCTCCTCAGTCTTGACCTATATTGTGTCGATGGAGGCGTAAGAAATATCCATATATATATAAAAAAAAATACTCTTCAGTTTACCTCAGTCAGGCTGTCGAATACATATTCTGATTTGTGAACATCAAGGGTCATATTTTGGATGAGTTTGTCTGGAGAAGAAAGAATGAAAATTCATTGTGGAGGTCTGAGGATGGAAAAGGAGGGAAGGAGGAAGAGAAGGATGGAGTGAGTCTATGAAAAAAAATTCTCACTGTGAGATAATTGAAGTTTTTTCTTTGTCAGTTTTCTTCCTTTTTTCCTGCTTACTGTTGGTTTCCTTGGTGTGGAGTTGGAGGTCAACAGGGATGGGTGTTTAATGAATTCAGATGATTACATGGGATTTTCTACTTCTTTCATTTATGGATTTAGGGAATTATAAATAATCCTTGTAAATATTTGAAGTAAACGTATCTAATTTTCACAGTATGTTCTCAATGATTTACCTGTCATTGAAGCCTTCAAAGACAGAATTGGAGACAAAGCGAAATGTGTATCTTTTCACACTGACAGCTGGCTAATTCTGACTGTGTAACTACTAAGGAATTATGATTTGGGCAGAGCCTGTCATAATGGAACATTTAGAATTTAAATCTTTTTCAATCTGTTCAGATTTACTCAAAACTTAACACCTTCAATCTCTGCTCTAAAACAGCATGTTCAGGAAAATAAATTTGAAAAATATATATTCATTTCATCGGTGGTAAAAGCATACATCTGTTGAAATTCAATCTCACATGAGTGGAGCAGAGGACCAAAGTGTGGAACCCGTCCTCCATCAGTGCAGGACACACGGAGCCCTGAGGCTACAGGAAAAGCGGTACAGGCCAATAGAAGAACTGATCTAGGAGACCCAGTGTATTATGATAGATACGGGACTTCAAGTGTGATGCTATCAAAAAAAGGAGAAGAAGAAGAAGTGAAAGAAAAAAAAAGAAGATAAATACACTTTGATGAACTGTTTTATATTCTTTTGGCTATGCCGTCTTGTTATTAAATTTTATCTTGTTATTTTTGACCGCGTGTCATTCACAGCACATAACACGGGTCAGCGTTTCGATGACACCACCAAAAAGCAGCTCCATGTGTTGTTCTGGGGCAGAGCCGCCCAGTACTGTGAGGTGAGTGAGGGAGGGAAACTACAGCTGTGGCAGAAATCCTCAGTCCAACCTGATGACGGCTGATGTGATTTTGTCATCTTTTCAATATTATTATTATCTTTGAGCCCTTGTTATATGAGACTGTAATGTATTTAGTATAATTATGCTTGTACCAATAGGGGCGTTAAACCTATACCTTTTCACCATTTAGGCTTGTACCCTACATATATGTTAGATTGTAATTTATTCAATATTATTATGCTTGTACCCTACATAAATTAAATTGTGTTGCATTCAAAATTTCAATGCTTTTGCGGAATTCTAATTATTTATTCATTAAAATGTATCGTGCTTGTTCTGTTTTTATATCATATATGAATGAATTAATTACATTTAGGTACCACTGGTAGGTCCTTTATCTTTCTTTCCCTCTGTTGTTTCTGTCTGTCTGTCTTACTTTTTCCGTGCACTAAATGACTGTTCTTTCTTCATTGTGCTTCTCTTTACTCAGACAACTTTTGTGTGGGTGGTTGGCGAGTGCTCTAGTGTGGTTTGCTCCTCCTTTCTTTAAATCAAAGCCAAGTTGTCTTTATCTCTCCTCCTCCTTTTGTTTGAATTTTGCTCTCAAATAATACCTCTAATCTTCGGCACTTATATGAACCATTGTGTTGCAAGTGCCGTAAAACTCTTACTATAACCAAACTAGACTTTTGTGATAGATCCCATAAATGGACTGCTCAGTGCAAGACTCCAACATACTCACAAGTATTCATATGACCTTAGAGCATTCATCAGAATAACACTGAGTTGCAGTCAGAATATTGAGTCGGTATCTAGCTTAAGATTATTATTCTTTATTTTGCTGTTCATTTATATTATGCATGTGACTGTAAACCTGCGTGTGTGTGTGTGTGTGTGTGTGTGTGTGTGCGTGCGCGCGTGCGTGCGTGCGTGCGTGCGTGCGTGCGTGCGTGCGCGTGTGTGCATGTGTGTTTTTGTATGTGTATACGTGGTGAAACACCAAACCAATATGCCAGAATCTGGACTATATTGTTGTATCTTATCTTATCTTATCTTATCTTATCTTATACTTCACTTTTCAAAACAGCACAGTGGGTGGTTGGCAGGTGCTCTGGTGTGGTTTGCTTCTTTTTTCCTATCAAACATCTATCGTCTTTATCTCCCCTCTGTCTTTTTTGTATTTGTTACTCTCTTGTAATACCTCTAATCTTCAGGCGCTCGTATGACCTTATTGTGTAACAAGTGCCGTGAAACGCTTACTAAAACAAAACAAAAAGAACAGCGCACGGCAGAGTGTTGTCTTTCACTAAGCAGTCAAAATGTGATGGTCTTCTCTGTTTTGTTCTTGGCACAACCACCATCCCCTGCAGGGAGGCAAGTACACAGAGGCTATCGCGTGGTACAGATATTCCCTGAGTCTTTACACCTCCACAACAGGGAGTGAGCCCAATCTGGGCAAACTGCACCGCAACCTGGCTACCTGTTACCTGCACACTGAGCACCTGGACAAGGTAAGGGGGGGAAGGACAAGATGGGTGTTGTATGGTTGGAGAGTGCAGTTGGGGTGATGTATTTTGGGGAAACAAGGTAGGTCTAGGTGGGGAACAAGGTGGGTGGTATCTGGTTGAAAGAGTGTGGTTGGGACAAGATAGATGGGGGACCATTTGGTAGGGGGACAAGGTGGATGTTTTGTTTTAGCAGAGATTTTACTGTGCTTGCAACTGCATAAGGTCATATGAGTGCAAAGGGGTGGATGTCAGCACAGAAGACCTTACAGGGAATCAGACTTACAAAGTCTATCAAGGCACCCTGGAAATAGTGGTGTGACAAACATACAAAAGAAGTAGAGGAAATGACGATAGTAAGGATTAGGAAAGAAAAAGCAGCAGTTCCCTGTTGTAGTTCAGGCACAGTTTTGAGCATGACATTGTTGGATCAGCCCATTTACAATTCTACTGTGCATTAGAAGGAGAAACTCCCTATGGGAATGGCCTAAAGACACTTCAGTCAGTGGCACCGCCCCAGGGGGGTACAAGGTGGATGAAGGGCAAGGTGGGTGGTATGAGGTTAAAGAGTGTGGTCGGGACAAGGTGGAGTACAGTGGGGACATTGTGTTTTTTAGGACGACGGTGGATGGCGGGTAGTTGGAGAATGTCACTGGTTGCTCCTACTTCTTTACTTTCCCTCTGTCTGTCTGTCTGTCAGTCTGTCTGTCTGTCTGTCTGTCTGTCTATCTGAAGGTAGTTTGGGGGAGAAGATGGATGGTAGGAAGGTGCCACTGGTAACTCCTACTTGTTTACTCTTCCTCTGCTTTGATCTGTCTGTTTGTCAAGCCTTTTCTGGGTACTAAATAATGGTTATTTTGTTGATGTTTTTCTCTTTACCAAACAAATGAAATGAAGAACCAGTCGACGTCTCTCCTTGCTCTAACCCAAGTGTCCAAAGACAGGACATTCATATCTTGTGGTAATGTGGGTGGTTGGTGTGGGCTCTGGTGTGGTTTGCTTCTTCTTTCCTATCAAACATCTATTGTCCTCATCTCCCCTTCTTCTTTTTTATTTGTGTTACTCTCTTGTAACACCTCTAATCTTCTGGCGCTCATGTGACCTTATGCAGTTGCGAGCGCCGTAAAAACTCTACTAAAACTAAAACTAACACCTCTCATCTTAGGCTCTGTGGGTGGTTGGCGGATGCTCTGGTGTAGTTTGCTCCTTCTTTTCTATCAGACATCTATCGTCCTGATCTCTCCTTATTCATTTTTATGTTTGTTACTCTCTTGTAACACCTCTGGTCTTCGGCACTTATATGACAATAATTGTGCTGCAAGTGCCGTAAATCTCTTACTAAAACTAAAAACAAAAAAAGTCTAAGGCGCTTAAATGACCTAATCGCAGGCAGTATTGCATACAGACATATCTCGAATCAAAGGCCGCCAAAAATGACTTACATCTTTATGCAATACTGCCCGCGTAACAGTGTTGCAAGTGTCAGAAAACTCTTTCTAAAACTAAACTTGTGCTAATGTTTAAGAGTTTTTTGGCGAGTGCTCTAATGTGGTTTGCTTCTTCTTTCCTATCAAATATTTATTGTCCTTATCTCCCCTTCTTCTTTTTAATGTTTGTTTCTCTCTTGTAACCCCTCTAATTTTCTGGCACTTATATGACCTAATTCGTGGGCAGTATTGCATTTTCGTCTTTATGCAATACTGCCGGCGTAATTGTGTTGCATGTGCCTTAAAACTCTTTCTAAAATTAGTGTTACTCGATGTGCACTATTTTTTGTAGCGGTACATTAGTAATTAGTAACGTTCCACTTTGCTGTTGTGCATTGATTTATGTTCTCTATTTGTTTGAATATCATGAACCATGTGTTGGATTATGGCGGTCGTTGATGCGGAGGCGCCTTGCAAGGGTAAGGCAACATTGTTAATTTTTAGTTTTGTTCCAAAATAAAAATTAACAAATCAGTGCACATCGGAGTGACTTTGGTTATTTATGACTAAGCTTGTGCTAACATTTAAGAGTTTTTTTTTCAACAGGCGAAGCAGTCAGCTGGGATGGCGGAGGTGTGTGAGCCAAGCCACCCACACACTCACTTTTTGGTTTACAAGGTGGCCCTTAAGTCTGGTGATACACAAACAGGTTGGATACTGTCCATGTCTTATGTGTGTTTATTTGTGTATGTGTTTGGTGTGTGTGTGTGTGTGTGTGTGTGTGTGTG